CCTGGAGGAACTGGAACAGTTGGAGAGAGATGGTGGTTTGTTTACTGAACATTTGGCTTGCAGGGAGTCCATGAGGTTTGAGTAAGCAAACAAAATGCAAATGGAAGAGATCTTCTTGAGACAAAATTCAAGAGCTAGATGGATAAAGGAGGGTGATAGAAACACAAAATTCTTTCATTGTATGACAAATCACCATAGCAAAATTTAATATGTGGAGGAGATAGATATTGATGGCTGTTTGGCGAAGGGGAATGAGCAGTGGAGAGAAGGGTCAAGGATTTTTGTCAGCAGGTTATATAAGGAGGATTTTAGTTGGAGGTCTAAGTTGGATTGCCTGGATTTCACATCCCTAGATGATCAACACCGTGGATCGCTCAAGAGGAAGTTCTTTGAGAAGGAGGTTATAGGGGGCCTCATGCATTGTAGAATGGATATAGCTTCAAAACCTGATAGTTTTTAATATGAATTTCCTTTAGGAATTTTGGTATGTCAGTAAGGAGGACATTATTGAGCTTCTTAATGAGTTTCATGAGTTTGAGTCTTTTATTAAATGTTTAAACTTTACATTTCTGGTAATTATTCCTAAAGTGGAGGGAACAACATTTATTCCCAAAGTGTTGGCAAGGAGAATGGCTAAGGTGATGAGTGAGGTGGTGGATTAGCGTACGCATGCTTTTGTTGATGGCTGACAGATTTTGGATGTGGCGCTCGTTGCAGAAGGAATTGTGGATGAACTATTTGAGAAGATTATGGAGGGTGTACTATGCAAGCTAAATGTGGAGAAAGCCTATGATCATTTGAATTAGGACTTTCTTGATTGTATGTTAAAATGACTGGACTTTGGGGACAAATAATGCAAATGAATCAATTTATGCATCTATATGACTTCTTTTGCCATTATGGTTGATAAGGGTCCATTTTTTTCAGAGCCTCTGGAGGGGTCTTAGATAAGGCAATTGCTGCTCCCTTTAACTAGTTATCATTGTAATGGAAGCTCTCAATAAAATACTTTTGGAAGCTGTGAGAGCTTGAGATGTTTAAGAGTTTAAATATGGGCAATGGTGAATATACAAAAGAGGTTATTTTTGCTGATGATAATTTGCTGTTCTGTGAACTGGATGAGAACTCTTTTTCGCTTTAGATGCATTTTGTTGAGCTTCGATACAGTTTCTAGTCTCAATATTAACATAGCCGAGTCTGAGCTATTGAGGTTGGGTGATGGGAGGGATGCTAATAGGTTGGATAGGATTTTGGGATGCAGGAGTGTGGACCTACCGATGAAATATTTAGGTCTCCCGTTAGGTGTTAACGATAAAGGTCCATTGGGGCTTTTTGGGGTATTTTAACAATCTGGGATATCAAGAGTTCTCATCAAGATAGATATAGTAGAAGTATTGCTCACTGGTGATCCTCGATGTGAGAAGGAAAGGTTATTGGTGGTTGAACAATGTGTATGGCCCAACAAGGTATAGGGAACGATCACTACTATAGGAAGAGTTGTCCTATTCCTTAGGTTTGTGTAATCCTTTCTGGTGCATGAGGGGTGATTTCATTTCCTGTAGGTTTCCTCATGAGAAATTAGGCGAGAAAGGATGTCTCCCTCAATGCATAACTTTAATGTGAGTTAAGAGATTTCCCCTTGATAATGCCCATATTACTTGGTCAGTCAATAGAGTGCGAGTGATCTCCTCAAGATTGGACAGATTTTTAGTTTCCACTCAATGGGAGGACTATTTTCCATATATGATTCAAGAGACCCTTCCAAGATCAGTTTCATATCATTTTTCTAGTTTTCTTGACTCGTGGCAAGTTAAGTGGGGGCCAACACCATTTATGTTTGAAAATATGTGGACTCAACATCTGGATTTTGTCCTACTAGCTCAGGGTGAGTGGGGGAAGGGATATAGATTTATGAGGAAGTTGAAACTTTTAAAGGAGAGGCTGAAAAGTATGGAAAAGGAGGTATTTGGACATGTGGGCCAGCTTAAGTAAGACATCCTTGGGAAAGGGGAGAGTTGAAAAGATTAAGGGCAAAATCTATCATCTCGGAAGATCAAAAGGACTCAAGGAAGTGTAATTCTTAGAGGAGAGAAGCTGGAGACAAAAAGCAAAGATTAAATGGGTGAATGATGGGGATGCGAACACAAGATTACAAAATCATTCAATATTGCAGGAACTTGTATACAGAAGAAGAGTTTCTTCCATTCCTAGAAGGTATTGATTGGACACCCATTGGGAGGCAAAACAGGGAAAAGATGGAAAGACTTTTTGAAATGAAGGAAATAAGGAGGGTTGTTTGGGAGTTAGGAAAAGATAAGACTCCTAGACCAGATGAATACACGCTTGAGCTTTTTAAGGTATGCTGGGATATCTTAAAGGCGAACTTATTTAGGAGTTTTATTTGAATGTAGCCATTTGTAAGAGCATGAATTCCATCTTTATTACCTGGTTCCAGAAAGGGCAAGTCTGAAGAGCTCTTTAATTATCATCCTATTAGCTTGGTGAGTAGTATTTATAAAATTATCAATACTCTCTTTTAGTTAGATGAAATTTTAGGCAATACTATCTCATAGAATCAAAGTACCTCTGCAAGTGGTAGACAAATCCTTGAAGCTTGTGCCCGATGAGCTAGTGTTGTACACATAAGCCACTAGGCGGAAAGGGTTAGATCTAGAATTGGATATTGAGAAAACATATGATAGAGTCAACTAGAGGTTCTTAGACAGAGTAATGGAGAGAAAAGGATTGGGGCGGAGATGTAGAAAATGGATTCGAGGATGTCCTTCATCTAGTTCCTTCTCAGTGATTGTAAAAGGAAAACCTCATGATTGGTTCCGGTCAACGAGAGGACTTAGATAGAGGATCCGTGGTTGCCTTCTCTATTCACTCTGGTTATTGATATACTGAGCAAGATGTTGACTAGTGCGACCAGGAGAGGAGAAGTGAAAGATTTAAGAGTTGGTCAGCACAATGTGGAGGTCTCTCATTTAAAGTTTGCTGATGACCCGATCTTATATTGCAATACTAATATTTGATGGATGCTAAAATTTTAATGGACTATGCTACAACTTATAGATTTTTTAACAAGATGCTTTCCAGACCCTTTTTTAATTAGTCACCTTATATCTTTCTCCATCTTTCCCTATCCAATAAGGATTCTTTATTGCGCTCAAGTGGTACAGGTGGTTGAATTGTTGTTTTGAAAGGAATCTAAATGATCGGGAGATTGATGATTTTCTTTGACTTTTCAATTCCCTGTCTAGAATTGATGGTTTTTGAGGATCCTGAAGATGAACTGATAGGGAGCCTTAGCCCCAAAGGCATCTTTTTGGTTAACTCCTTGTACTCGTTTTTGGCTAGATGGAGGTTGATAATGTAAACTTTCCTTCAAAACTTATTTAGAAAGCAAAAGCAACTCCTAGGACGACTTTTTTTGCATGAAGGCTTCATAGAAACACATTCTTACTTAAAATAAGTTGATAAAGAGCCGCAAGTTTCTTGTTAATGATGCTATTTGTGTAAGGAGAATACAAAGTCATGCAACCACATCTTTGTCTGGTGGCCTTATGCCCAACGCGTCTAGTCCTTTATCTAAGTCTTCTGGGTTTGAGCTGTGTGATCTCTGGTAGTGCTAGGGAGGATATTTTGAAGGGATTGACTTCTCTTTTGACTAGTTTAAGGATTCATATTTGTTTTTTTTTTTTTTTTTAATCAAGGACTAGTCATTATATTCCTGCAAGGATTTATGTGAGTTGGTTTATATTTTGATTGAGATGTAAATATTTTTGTATATAGGTTGCACCATATTGGTGTCCATTTATATATATTCTTTTTCTTATAAAAAAAAAATAAATCACTTTTGTGTAGGCATTATGTGTATCTGGTTCAACAGTATCAAGGCACGTGAATGGGATCCAAGCAAGCAGAGCTGACATGATTATTTCGGTAGGTAGTGGTGAGAACAAAAAAAAAACGGTGTCTTTTAACTTGATAAAGCAAAAGTCTAATTTCACTTCTGGTTTTTAATGTACATTATGTTTTATATATTTTCCTTGTACTTTTGTGCAACTGAGGTCAAAGCTCATGTTGTTTTTCTGACCCCATGCTGAAGTTCTTCATACTACAAGGATTTTGAAAATTGAGTTGACCATAGGTAGTACTGACCAGAAGTCTGCAATCATGATTTAATTGTAATCGTCACTTTTTAAATTGTAGGTACTTATGAAGCAAGCTGGTCTACAACTTCGAGAAAGTGTAAGTGAAGATTTACTCTCTTATCATAGCAAATTCAATTTCCTTCCGATCATATGATTTATTTTGAGATTTGTTTTTACTGTTTTGTGGACTATCCCTTGAAGGGATTTCCTACATAGTAGGATTTGAACCCAGCATAACTCGTGCACTTAATTAGTGGGGATATATGATCACTGCAAAGCCTTTACTCTGTTTATTTTTGGTGTAGTTGTTAGCCAGGAAAATCACTTTATTTCTAGGTTATCTTTTCTTGGTTGAGCAGGAAGTACTAAAACAATTGAACAAGAGGCAAGAGGCAAGAAACATCAAATTAAAGGAGTCATCAAATTATCGAGAGAAAGGAAAAGACTCAAGTTGTTGGCAAAAGAGCAAGATATGATGGAGCAAAGTAGAAAATAGATGGAAGGAGGAACTGGAGCATTGTAAACCCATGTTACTTCTAATATAGGGGTAAGGAAATGGTATCCAAGCTCTGAAGAAATACTTTTCAAATGCTAATTGGGAATCAATCGAGCCCTTATAGACATCAAAGAATGATTCTTCATTGTGAAGTTTGCCAATCATGAGGAGAAGATGATGACAATGTTAGAGGGCCATGGGTTAAATGGGAACAAAATTTGTGTCAAGAATTGGGTACCAAATTTTCAGCAGACATTCTTAAAATGTCAAAGATGCAAGTTTAGATGCGCTCATCTTCTGTTGGAGTGGGCACCAACCCCTGTTGATCAATCCAAGAGGATGGAGAGACCATTTGAGGAGGACGAGATAACGTAGGCTCTATGGGACTTGGGAAGCGATAAGGCACCAAGTCCTGATGGATTTGCCTTGGAGTTTGATGCGGAACCTAGGATTAATGGTGTAATCCAGAACTCATAGAATACTCATAAAGCAACAAAGGCTTAAATCTTAATAAGTCCTCCATACTTAACCTACTATCAATGAAGTGATAGGAAGTAAGGTAATTGAGAAATTAAAAAAATTAAAAAGCACCACAAGTATAGCTTGATAAGTTGATCCAATTCCTTGCTTAAAGAGAAGGTTGAAGACATTTCATTAGTTGAAAATAATTTTGTAATTTATTATCTCAAACTTGAATAAGTAGAATCATGAATTGAAACTTATTTATAGTGTAGGTCATGTGCATTATAAGAAAATAAATTTTTTAAATTAATTGTAGAGATTACATAGAAAATTAAATCTTGATTTTTATAAGAAAATAATGATAACTACGAGAATTACCACCCAAACTAGTATAGATTGGATCTCCTTTTGTGGAAACTTTTTAATTGGGGGAGAACTTAATTAATTTAAAAAAGATCTCTTGAAGATTTCTTAATTTAAAAAAGATCTCTTGATTCTGTAGAAAATTGAATATGTACATGATCTTGTGATAAATGCTTTTAATGTTGGTTTCCTTATTTGTAAAGATATGATCTCAATTTTCCGTTGATGGATTTCCGAAATTCCTTGATCTTGGTTTTTTTTTTTCTTTTTATCACTTGAGAAAGATATGGAGAAGGCAAGGAAACTTTCCTCATTTAGAGAATGAGTGGGAAAAATCTCTTACGGGGTGGGGAGGTTTTTCCATGTGCTGCTTTCGGGTTTTTCTTGGAATTTTAAACTCTTATTGGCCTATTTTTACCTTAGCAGTTTGTTGTTTGAATAGTTTAAGCCATCTGTACTCACGTCATCCCCTCCTTCGAAAATGATTCGTTATCGAATCAGAAACTTCTCATGTATGGATACTTTTAATTTTGCTTCCTTTGGATGAAGACCTTATAAAGTAACAACACTAAAAAAAGGTGGGTTAGGGTTAAATAAACATTTCTTTTCTACTACAAAGGAGTCATCATCTCTCTTGTCTCCTGCTAACTATTTTTCTCTCACCAAGGATTCATTAGTTGTCTTTTCTCCCTTGGCAACATTTTT